CACTGTTCCATGTTTTTGCCATTTGTGGATAATGGCTCTCACTGTGGTTCACTGGAGTCCCACAGCTTTAGAAATGGCTTTATAACCTATTCCAGACTGAGAGATCTCAGTTACTTTGTTTCTCATTTGTTCCTGAATTTCCTTGGATCGCGGCATGACGTCTGGATTTTGAGGATCTTTTGGTCTTCTCTACTTTGTAAGGCAGGTCCTAGTTAAGTGATTTCTTGACTGAGAACAGGTGTGGCAGTAATCAGGCCTGGGTGTGGCTAGAGAAATTGAACTCATCTTTCCAAGCCATGTAAGTTTGGATTTTTTTCCCCCTTATTAATAAACACCTTCCTTTAGAAAGTGCACTTTGTGTTTACTTGTGTTAACAAACTAAAATATTTAAGTGTGATAAACATACAAAAAAAAAAAGGAAATCAGGAAGTGGACAAACATTTTTTCACACCACTGCAGGTATCACGGTCTAATGCAAAACGGAGCTCAGTTTATGCTCAGACTTGCAGTGTGCAATGAAGTGGTATAAGAATGCAGGATAACGTGGGTACCTGAAGAAATTACTAGACGTTAACTACATCATCCTTAGGTAAATCTTTAAAATCTCTAAAATTGCCTTCACAGCACTCAACTCTCCATACAGGTTTGAATAATTTGAGAACTATTTTACAACTGTCCCATGGCTTGAATTTAAACCCGTCTTCAGTCACTGACATCCCAAATCAAATCAAACGTGTTTTCTTCCTACTTTTTTCTTATTTTAATGCCTCTCCCACTATTCATTTATTATTTGAGGATAAATCAGTATTCAGAGTATTAAATCCTAGAAAATTAAAGTTAACCTCAAACCAAATAAAGAAAAAAACAGCCATTTGTAAAATTCAGCATGATAATTTATTGCCAGCATCGAGTCAAGCCAGTGCATGTGTTCTCTTAAGCAAGCAGCGGATTTTCAAACACTGTAACTCAAGTGGCACTTTAAACAAAATAAGTCAAGACAAGTTTTACTTAAGCACAGGGATGAGATGAGCCATATGAGTCAACAATAACCTAAGAAAAAAAAACCCCCATCTCATCTGGCACTATTGTGCAAGCGCTATAAGTTGGATGTAGTTGTGTAGCATGACTGTGGTCACAAAACGAGTCTGCCTCTGAAGCACGGAAGAGCAACCAAAGCCTGCAAGTGTGAATTTGGGTTTAAGTGATTGTGGGTTAAATGTAAATGTATGCTCGTGGAAGCTGTTGTGTGTGTGTTTACAGGCAGACCGCTTTCAAGAAGTCCAGCGAGGTGTGGAAAACAAGCTTTTTGAGGTGAGCATGAGATGGAAACTGAGACTGCTCGAAGAAAAACAAGTTAGAGCCAAGGACCCGAGAGCACCCTTCACCACAGTTTCATATGGCCTTTACAAAAGAAATAAAAAAAATAAAAAATACAATCTTCCGTCTTGTTCACCAGTGTGGATGAATTCAGGCACAGTACAAAAAATTTGTTATTGAGCAACTGCGGCGGTTTTTGTACCTGTCATAACCTGTAACAGGAAACCTGAAGTCCTAAAATACTGAAAAGATCAGTAACAGATAATAATCTGCTGCAGTGTTACACTGCCAGTGGGTGTTTACAAAAAAAACAAAAACGGATGCGACTTGAAGCTCCATCTGCAGACAGTCTGCTTTAACATAACCTCCTTCCCACTTCCCTTTCAGGTTTCAGAGTCTGAGCTGTTGATCAGACGCTGAGGAATAAAAGAGCTGTAGACACGTAACTCGTTACTCACTTCTCGTGCTTTTTGTTTTTTTCCTTCAGCATTTTGTCAGAAGCTGTTTTCTGTAATTAGGGTAATAGTGGAAACCGGTGACATTCACTCGGTGTTTTTTCTAAAGATGTGTAGGCAGGTGTTGAAGGGTGAAAGGTTTGGATTTGCACCGTGTGGCTGAAAATAGCACTCGTTGTTAAATCGGTGTTTTCCATGTTTTCAAGTTAACGCTCTCTCATTTGTGCATCAGCTGTGAACCCACAGATCCAGCCTCGATAACACTCACCTGGAACTCAACTTCAGTAGCAGGATGTGGCTTTGGCCTAACACCAGAGGAGGCCCAGCCAGTTTTGTAAATGCCAACATAAATATGATCATTTTTAAATAAATAAATAAATGTGTATAATCATAATTTTATACTCACTGTTATTAGTTTTCCTCTGATTCTGGATAAGAAAAACAATTTACTCATTATTAAGCAACTACACATCCAGCAGTGTGGGTTTTACACTATCCTGATTGTGCTGATGCAGCATGTGCGCGTTCAATCGTAAAAGCTGGGGCAAAGTGTCTGCTGCAGATGCTCGACTCGATTCTGCTCGGCAGGAAAGCTACAAAGCTTGTCACCGTGACATTTGATTCTTCTTTGTGTCGGTGTATACTGTGGTGGAGATGTTTTATTAGTAATTAGCACACAGTGGCTGCAACATAATGTGACGCGTGTGATTTAACCATAACACATCAGTGTTTACCAGTCGTTTTGGGTTATTATGGTGGAAACTAATAAAGCACAATGCATTTTTAATGCTTTTTAAAAATATTTGACATTTGTATTGAATTCCCATGTGATACAACTGTTTATTAATTATTTTGTAATATATTTATTTCAATTTTGAATAAAAGAAAACCATTTAAGATGGAGACAGCAAAAAATATAGAAGAGGAAGAAGAAGATGCTGTGGTTTCAAAACCACATTCTGCAAGTGTTATAAAAGCAGCAGTCTATGTGCATTGTTATCATCCGGACCTGTCAGCCACGGAAAACACTGCATTATAAAGAACTACCTCATTTGTTCTCCTCAGCTCTGAAATGCTTACAGGGTGTTGTCAAAGGAAGAGATGATGTAACACACCAGAATTCAAAAACAATGTCAGTGTCAAAGTTTCATGTCATTTTATTAACATCTTACATTTTGTTATTATTTACGCTTTACACTGCATCCTAGCTGTGCAGCTGAGATAACTTGACAGTGATGAAGCAGACAAAAGCAGCCAAAGCAGGTAGATTGGAGCAGCTTTAAGCTGATTTATTGGTGAAACTGAAGCTTGCTGTGGGGCAAACAGAAGCGGAGAGCAAGGCTGAGATCACAGACAAACAAAACAATGGTCTAAGCATAGTGTTGTAGACTGGTGTGTGTGTTTAACCACACCATGTCATGTGTATATTACATAAG